GGGGGGGATCATATTACTATGCCCTCACTACAGTAAATTCTGAATTCTCCTCAAACCACACTTACTAGCATTGTGATCACTGATGCATATGAGTCATACTGGAGGAGAAAGAAAAAAACAGTTGAGACCTACTTACCTATAAAATGTATTTCATACACTTAAGAATTCTCCTATGTAAATGTTTGTTTGTACGTGGATCTTTAATGTTTTACTCTGTGATATTAAAGGTCAAAATAAACCTCTGCTTGGGGCGCCTGGGTAGCTCAGTCAGTTAAGCTGTCCAACTTCAGCTCACGTCGTGACCTCCCGGTTCACGAGTTCGAGTCCCGCGTCGGGCTCTGTGCTGACAGCTCAGAGCCTGGAGCCTGCTTCGGATTCTGTGTCTCCCTCTCTCTGCCCCTCCCCTGCTCATGTTCTGTCTGTCTCTCTCTCAAAAATAAATAAACATTGAAAAATAATAATAATAATAAACATCTGCTTTATCTAAATATCTATTCTAGATTATTAACACATTTCCCTAATCCAGTTACCAGTACTATGTTTTAAGTAAAAGACTATAAAATTCAGCTGTACCCACCTGGCCCCTTAACACTTAAGGCTTCCACAAACTCTATAGACACCCTGATGCATGCCCTGCTGCTCTGGTCCTCTGGAAGAGGTTTTCACTGAACGATGCTCTAGAACATAAACGCCTCCGTCTGTATTCACATCTCCCGTACATCACCCAAACCAAAAGACGGAAGGGGTAAGATTAGGGGGAGAGGACAGGGAAGTCATTAGTAAAGCAAACAGAAAAGAAAGAATGGATGGATTTCAAGGGTTGAGAGAACTACTTAATTAGTTATAACAAGCTAGAGGTTAACACTGGACTACTTATATGGTCAGAAAAAAAAAAATCCCATGAAATTGGTTATGTACATAATTTCAAAATTCCAAACCAAAGTAATGAACTTCTCAAAATCTGATTCTCCTTTCCATGATCCTTAGTTGTACATCAATAGAACGTTTCAAAATTGCTTTTTTTTTTTTTTATTCAGCCGTATCACATAGTACTCAGAAGTACATCTTTCCACAATAAGTGAAAACTCTCAGGACACACTTAACAGCAAATAACATAATTATTAAAAAGAAAGATATAATAGAAAATAGCATACAAGTTAAGAGGAATGAACATGCAATGGGAACCGGTCAACTGAAGCTATTCATTGCAAAAGACCCACATATATTGTAATCCTTTCTCTATGATGATAACCAAGCAAATTCTAAGGAGCCAGCTAAACGTCAACTTATTATAAAGCCACATAATAAGAAAATCTGTGTAAGAAAAATAACAGTAGCCACCTCTCTAATAATAAGATAGATAAGAAGGATTGGTGGAAATTTGAAGAATTAGCTAAATAATTTAGGGTAGAACATTAAGGTAATTTTTAAGACAATAGTATTTTTTTTTAATTTCCCAAATTACAGCGAATGTTGAAAACTTGCAGAATAGGGGCGCCTGGATGCCTCAGTAGATTAAGCGTCCAACTTCAGCTCAGGTCATGATCTAATGGTTTGTGAGTTTGAGCCTTGCATCAGGCTCTGTGCTCACAGCTCAGAGCCTGGAGCCTGCTTCAGATTCTGTGTCTCCTTCGCCCTCTGCCCCTCCCCTGCTCACACTCTGTCTCTCTCTCTCTCTCTCTCAAAAATAAATTAAAACATTTTTTAAACACTTGCAGAATAGCTATTTTAATATGGACAGTTTCACTGATTCAGAGGGACTTCAATACACTCAAATACAAGTAGAAATAATCCAGTATTTTGATAAGGGGGTTAAGATGAGCTTCTAAAAACTCAACAGTAAACTGCCAATACAAAGTAGCTTAACCTATGCAATTCAGAGAGGAAACAGTCTTCTAAAAACTAGGCTTCAGACTTTGAACACGTACCAGTTATCTACTTGATAGTCTATTCGATCTCCTTTCCCACTCTTTTTGACTATTAATTCTGTGCAATACCCTCTTGTTATTTTCCTAGGGTAGCTTCATCCACCTAGTATTAGTATAAACATGCGTAACGAATAAAAGACATTTTTAAAAGTAGCAGGAACTAAACAGCTGGCAAAGTTGCTTTAAGAAAATCATCGCTGAACCCAACCTAAGCAGCTTTTTAATAGCCTCTCGTTTGGGAGTGCGCACACGGCTTCTTTCAGCTCAGAGCTATCACCGCATTTACCTTCAACTAGTAGCTAGCTAAAGAACTTCTAAGTAGTATACAGTCAAAACAGGAGTCCGAGGTGGTACTTCCTGATATGCGAGGGTAACCTTACTCTAAATAAATTATTTTAAATCGTGACAAACAACAAACAAAAACATTGCAACGACTGTGTTACAACCTAAAGAGACATGTTATAACTCCTGGTTGATCTGCAATTTTAAATAGCATTTCAGATTCTTTATTAATAAAGTTGGAATCTACAATGCAGTATGGAAGAGAAATCTACAACCAGAGAAGGTGTAAATAACATCAAATCCTCTAAGGGATGGATATATCCTTATAGAAGATTACTTCTGATTTTCTTGGACTCACTCCAATTCAAGTATTGTAATAGTAAACAAAAATCTTAATTATCTATACCTAAGAGATGTGAGCAGTAGCAACATACTTTAGAAAAAGGGAAGAGATTATTTAGTGGAGAAAATGCTAGAGTTAGCATAAAAAAATTCCGAGATCAATTTAACAGAACTGGCCAAGGATCTAATTAAAATTGTTTATAAATCATACATTTCAAAAGTAAAATGTGCTCCTTACATTATGACCAGATATGATAAATATTTTAATGCCTTCCAAAGCTAGACATAATTATTACATTAATGTCACTGCATGTTAACGTTTATCTTTAAAAAATCTGTACTCCTATGTGTTAACATCTGAAAAGGGAGATGAAGAGAAACATCAGACATAAATTGCTTTTGCACACATCTAAAAAAATAAGTTATTTAGAAAGGACATCACTAAATTAATAGTTCCTATTAGCTTTACATTTGTTTACCTCATCTTCCAGCAATCAGTTAACTAATAATATTACTGAGTACCTACCATGTACAAGGCACAGTGCTAGGTGCTATTTTGTACAGATCACAAAACTATCACACAAAAAAACCCTAGGAAACATCATTTGATGTTGTTTCTATGCTAAAAAGAGTAATTCAAGTCACAGGAATAGATTAAAAACTAATACAGTAGTAGAAAACTGGAAAATATAGAAATGATATATAGGACGATGTTAAAATCTAAAATTATGTACTGTGGTGCTATTCTTCACACAATCAGAGAAATACTGTCGTGGGTTCTTTCAAAATCAATATTATCTGCTCATAATGATAAATGCAATTATTTCACCCGCCAGGTACAAAAGATAGAAACTCAACTCTTTCTTAAGCTACACAGAGCAGGTGATGGCTTGCTTCAACAAACCTCTTAAACCATGGGGGAGATCAATACTCGGATTATACTGGAAGGGGAAAAACATACACTAGCACTCACAAGTAGCCAGTATAAAAAGAGGCCCATTAGAAATGAATCCTAGGAAGAGATTAGAAAATAAATTTCACAGAAAAGGGTGATAGAAAGTTATGGTAAAAGAAAAACATGAACTGGGAATGAGGATACATTAGATATAGAAGGAATAAGGATGAGTGATATTTTCTAGTATGGTTTTTAATTCTATAAATGTAGTAGCTGCACACACGCACAAAAAATATTTAGTAATTATTTTCAAAAACAATAGTGGCCCTTAAAACCACACATCTGCAATTTGCTGTCTTAACAGCCATTATGCTCAGCCTATCTAAGCAAATGCCAGTATATCTCATATGCTCAGCCTATCTAAGCAAATGCCAGTATACATCCTAAAACACGGTCACGTGAGCCACAAACATTTATTGTTTTGATTAAGAAAAACAAAATACTCATTAGTTACCCACACTAATAAATGTACCAAAATTATCCTTTTAATTTTCTCAAAGCAAAAAACCACTCAGATCTTCTTTACCATTTCAAAACTAAACTAAATCATGCAGATGCACGAAGAGCTGACCCTGAGCAGCACGCAGAACTTCTGTAATTAAAAAGGGACTCGCACTCATTTCATACTCCTTCATATAATGTCTTTCTTATGGCCAACGGCACGTGTATCTGGAGAAAGTCCAGCCAGAGGGAGAAACCCTCCCTGACCAAGAAGCAGACCAAAGTGAACCTGTGACCTTCAAACCATAATGCTGATTTAATCAACAATTATGTAAGTCCATTCAATTCTAAGGAGTTTACGCATATCCCAAGTAATCTGGAATTTCATAAAAAGCATACTACACACACATGACACGGGGAAAAATGCTTATAACGTCTCTAAGGCTATTGTGAGCTAAAATGAATACCAACAAATAAATCAGTTACTATTATTTAGCACACAGGACTAAAAAAGAGACACCTACACAGTAGTTAAATAAAATGACTATGTGGGTATAAACCATTTGTTAATTGTGGGTGTAACTGGACGCTTCTCTCCTAAGTATTTCCTAGTGTCTTTTAATAGCCCCTTGACACAGATCTTAAATGGTCCTATTGTTTACTGGAAACTTCATTTGATAATCTTTGAATAATCATTTGAGGATTATAACGTCTGCCTATTTGAATCTCATTACTGAAAAAAATACCTGTTCTTCTGCTCTTGCTGCAATAACTGAGCGGCTATTTTCCTCAAATCAGTTACTTCCTTCAAATCATCATCCTCTTCCTCTGCAAGTAACTGCTCTTTCCCAAGTCTGAAAGGTGACACAAACATGGTTATCCAGAAAGTAAGGCAGATGACATTTTATGCCAGCTTCCAGAAGCAGAAACCATTTGTGCGTTTTTAATATCAACTGAAAGCTAAAATCCTAATGTCCTGTACTTGAAACATTAAAACAAGAAATAAGGAATATTTAAGGAATATAAAAACATACCTAACCTCTAGTCAATAGGAAATGTGTCATACTGGTGATATTAATAAATGGCTAACAAAGTAAACTGTATTACCGTTTTGTAATTTCTGAAATGTATAATTTAACAACGCATACTCCCTAGTCTTGAGTGTAATAAGAACTCCAGAGCCCTATATGCCTGTCTTTATAAATATCAAATGTTATCAGTTTATCAGTTTATTCATCGTGACGTTAAAAGTCTCTATGTAAGATGTTTAAGTAGAGGAAATGCAAAGCAGGTCCAAGTAAGACTGGCGAATTTGCAGGAAAATGCTCATTAAAATACATAATTTTTAATCAAAGAGAACAAAGGAATTTTTAAATAAGTTCTCCAAACTTCAGTGATTTTATCCCAAAGGTATTTCATTTACAACGCAGTATCAAACCCTAAGACTCCGTATCTTCACCATATCTTGTATGCCACTGTGACCCTCAAGTTTAGGCAAAGATCTTCAGGAGATAAAGTGAGAAAGTAAGAGAAGAATGACATATAAAGAGTGTAAGACAAAGCAATGTACCTCCTTATGGGGTACCAGAGATGATTAATTCAAGATTGCTTAAAAAGTTACCAATGAGGTCATTTGGAGGAAGCACAATGGACAGAAAAGAGAAAAGCTTGGAGATCAGAAACAGCTAGGGTCACACCGTAGGTTCTAGTGGATGCCATCTAAGTGGTTCTAGGCAAGAAACTTGAGAGTCTCCCAAGCTTCATCTTCCTCATCTGTAAAAATGGGGATAGCATTAACCCTGCAAGATTTAGTGAAGATTAAGTAAGAAACATGAGGGCACGTGGCTGGCTCAGCTGGGAGAGCACGAAAATCTTGATCTCAGGGCCATGAGTTTGAGTCCCATGTTGGGTTAAATAAATAAAACTTAAAAAACTATATAATAATCTTTGGGACACCTGGCCGGCTCAGTTGCAAGAGCACGCAACTCTTGATCTCAGGGTCATGAGTTCGAGGCCCACCCTGGGTATAGAGATTACTAAAACAAAATAAAAATCTTTAAAAATAAATAAATAAGAAACACGGGAAAGCACACAGCACAGATCCTGGTACATGGTAGGTATACGACAAATGTTCCTTCCTTCCTTCCTTCCTTCCTTCCTTCCTATACAGCTGTATAGCAACTTTAAGGAGTAACTGAATGTGGCAGGTCACACTCCATCATTTCCTAAGATGATACAGAAAAGATCTCAAGTGCATTATTTTCATAAAACAGAAGTAGATACCCTTAAAATTACTATAACCAGTCTGATGAAATGGAAAGTGTAGTAGACAAAGAGTTGAAACATCTCAGTTCCAGACATTTGAAACTCCAGGTCTATATCCTTATTGGCCAAATGATGCAAAAAAAAAAAAAAAATCATTTATTTTCAAGAGTTGCTTAATAGCTCAAATGAAGCAATGAATGTGAAGGTACAGTCGTCCTCGGTAATAGTAGAATTATTACACTTCTTAGCCAGGGTGGTGGGGGGGGATGTATATACTACACTGAGCTTAAATGCTTACTATCCTCTTCAGTTTAATTGAGGAATGCAGACAAATGTTTCGTGTATAAGTTACACTTCAATTGGAGGATTCGTGTATGCTTACCTTTTTTCATCTCCCAATTCTTCATTTTTCTGAGATTTCTCAGGACCTTTTTCTTTTCCCTTACATAAAAGAAAGTTACCATTTTAAATCTGTGTGGTGTACTTTTGTGAGATAAAGGAGAGTATGTTATTAATATTTGTTCTAAGTTTTCTTTACCTTAAGGAAGGAGACATATGATCCAATATGTGCATCTCCTTGTTCAAGAACTGCTACATCTTCTGTGTTGGGATCAATAAAATCATACACCTCCTGGTCTAAGTATAGATTAGTAATTATTAGAAAATATAAATAGTAAGCAGTATGCTTTCATACTGTAGTGTTTAGAATAAAAGTATATTTTTTCAATAAAAGAGGTGGCCAAAGACATTGTAATTTTTCGAAATGCATTTTTGATTAAGGGCAATATACATGAAATAAAAATAGGGGTGCCTGGGTGGCTTAGTCAGTTGAACATCCGACTTCAGTTTGGGTCATGATCTTGAGGTCCGTGAGTTTGAGCCCCACGTCGGGCTCTGTGCTGATAGCTCAGAGCCTGGACCTGCTTCAGATTCTGTGTGTGTGTGTGTGCGCGCGCGCGCCTCTCTCTCTCTCTCTGCCCCTTCCCCACTTACGCACACATGCTCTCTCTCTCCCTCTCTCTCTCAAAAACAAATAAACATTAAAAAAAATTAAAATAAAATAGCAGGCACCCATATGAATTACCTTTCTGAGAATCAGGTTTGCTTCCAATTGAGTGACTGTCATTTCTTGATGTCTGTTCTCTATTTGACTCGGAGACTTGAGAGTGAAGGCTGATTGTGTCGTCATCTGATGGCTGAAAGGAATAAGCACAAAGTACAAATGAGGCACTTGAAACATAGAAAAAGGATTAGGTTATTTTAATTTCACATAAGACGCGTAGAGTATCTGCTTTACATCTCCAGTTCTCAAACCAAAAATTAGTATGTTAAGCTTTCCTGTTCTGCTTCTAAAAATGTGCATGTCCTTTTTTCATCTGAAGTCATTAAATGCAATAATGATTGTATTTTTAAGCAAAATAAATCAAGTGTGCACAAGTGTCTATGTATTTCAAAACTCTAACAAAATTTATAAATAAAATAGATTAGCAATAGAAAAGACTCACTTCAGTTGTAGATAATCGTTTCTCTCCATTATCACTTCCAATCCCAGAGTCAGGGCCATGATTTTTATTTGGATAAAAATCTTCCATACTATGGAAATAGAAATTCTAAGGACAATTAGGGTTTTCTTCTTAAATCAATACAGACTTGACCTAAAATGTCCCTAGATAATACAGAATATATACTCTTGATGTTTAACATCCTTAAGGACATGAAGGGAAAGTATCAGAAACCATCTGATAAAATATTTTATTCATATCCCTCATGTAATATTTTCCCTTCATGTGCTCTGTTGTAAAGTGTCAATTGTTAACAATAAACTATTACTTCTCCTGAGAGATTCAGAAAAGCAGAGTCCTGCTAAAAAATACTCTTAATGAAAGCCCTTTCTATTTTTCTCATTGCTTTAACAAATTTTACCATAGAACACTGAAATATGTTTTTAACTTCATAGTTTCTTCTTCATTAGCTGTAAAAATACGCTTTCGCTTTATAAATAATGCCCATCCGATAATTAAGAGAAAATGCAAAAAAAAAAAAAAAAAGTATGCAAAGCACTGAATAAACAATTGTTTTGGCAGAGCTGTCCTTGAAAATTTCGGAATTACACAACAGTATGCCACCCAGGTTGCAAGGTATTTTTCGCTTTAATTTGCAAATTTACATACGCGCAACCCTGCATACACTCCATACGGACCATTTATTATGTGCCAGGAATTAAGCTAAGTGCTTTAAAGACAATACCTCACACACGCCTTGTGAAAACTCTAGCAGGTTGGTGGTGCAGTCTCACTCTGCAGATGAGAAAACTGAGGCCAGGAGGGATTGAACAACTTTTCCATGACACGCAATTTGCAAATGGCGGCTTAAATGTGATCCCAAGATTATCTAACACTGAAGTCTCTGATCTTAATCACGATGCTCTTATTTCTTCCCCAAATGCCGATCCGTACACTTTCCAGGAATGTATCAATATAGGTGCGCCGCCTCCTCCCCTCCGTACGCAGAAGGCCGGGCAGGGCCCGCGCGATGCCCCGCCC